GCTTTGCAAGCGGGGAACCCCTGAGAACTGTCTGTCCGAGGTGGGGGTCGGGTCCCTTTAAGCACAGCCCTTGGCTAGCCTGAGACAGCAGCTCCATTCTCTAAGTCCTAATCTGATGCCCTGCCGGCACTGCTTCCGGCCAGCCTTAACTTTGGTTCAGGGTCCACTCAATGTGGACATGCTAGTTCGAATTAGCAAAATGCTAATTCAAACTAGTTTTTAGGTCTAGATGCACTAGTTCGAATTAGCTTAGTTCGAATTAGTGCTGTAGTGTAGACATACCCTTAGAGAGCAAGAGAGATTCTCATTCCATTACCTGGCAGTGCATTTCAATGGTAGAAAGTAGGGGATACCTATGTTTTCAGACTCCTCAGTTCACAGAATTTGCAAAATGCCCAACTTGCTAATGGCAGAGTCAGTTGTGCACATGTCAAATGCGAACATAGATATGTTAGAAGACTAGAACTAAAACAGCTCGAGAGATTTTTTTTTAATTTTTTTTAGCAGCTAACAAAATGTGCAGGCTTTTTTTCCTCCAAAAACCTAAATGATATATTTCAAGATTTGCAGAGGAAAACCAGTCAGTTTGGGCTTTTTTTTCTGAGGGGAATGTGAGGAGGGTCTTTCTGCTTCTTAGTCAGAAGTCACATCAGGGAGGGAGGGGTTGTTTGTTTGTTTTGCTTCTCACTTGTGTGCAGCCCCCGACTGATTTTTCTGTGGGTCAGCGGCCCCTGGACCCAAAAAAGGTTCCCCAACTCTGCTCTAAATATTCAGACCAGCTTGAAAAGACTAATATATTTCAGAACATAGGTATTTGTATCACCTCCTGAGTCCCAAGTGTGACCATGTCACATTACTGGATTTTTAAGGGGAGCAACCAGCTCACTGCTGCACCCATAGGGGGGTAATTTGCCCCAAAGTGTTTACAAAGGGGGCCATGTAATGTGTCAAGCGAAAGCTTCTGTTCTACTGAATCTGTGTATGCTGTTCATGTACTTGTTTGGTATTTGTATGTGGAGTTATAAATATGTACTCTGTATGGATGCTGGAAAATTCTCTGTCTTAGGCAGAGAAATGGGCCAGGAATGTTTGCTTATTGGCCATGCTGATGAGCAAGGGTCCAAGGACAATACATCTCTAAATGCCAAAGACAAACCTGGTAAATGAAGCTATAGGCGTGGCCACTGACCATGTGACCCACTCCAGCCAGGAAGATGCCAGGGGAGGTATATAAGTGCCGTGTGGTACCCTCCATCTTGGTCTTCAGCTCAGCTTTTATGCCAGCAGTTATAACATCTCTGCTGCAAGCCTGTATCGAGAACTGGGAGATTCGATGCACGTAATGTATTATCCTTTAAGGGTATGTCTACACTACCCCCCTAGTTCGAACTAGGGCGGGTAATGTAGTCATACGGAGTTGTAAATGAAGCCCGGGATTTGAATTTCCCGGGCTTCATGTGCATAAAGCCGGCCGGCACCACTTTAAATACCGGCTAGGTTGGACCCCGTGCCGCGCGGCTACACGCGGCTCGGACTAGCTAGTTCGGATTAGGCTCCCTAATCCGAACTAGCTGTACACCTCGTTCCATGACATACCCTAACAGCCTCACTCTCAGGCTTTTCTTTCTTTTAGTAATAAACCTTTAGATGTTAGATTCTAAAGGATTGGCTCAGCGTGATCTTGTGGGTAAGATCCAGAGTGTAAATTGACCTAGGACCTGTGGCTGGTTTCTTGGAACCAGAAGAACCCATTCAGGGTAGGTGAGATTGGGTTCTACAACCCCTCACGGGTGTGTTAAGGCAGAGAAATGGGCCAGGAATGTTTGCTTATTGGCCATGCTGATGAGCAAGGGTCCAAGGACAATACATCTCTAAATGCCAAAGACAAACCTGGTAAATGAAGCTATAGGCGTGGCCACTGACCATGTGACCCACTCTAGCCAGGAAGATGCCAGGGGAGGTATATAAGTGTCGTGTGGTACTAAGAGCATGAGGAGTTATCGTGAAGAAAGCCAGGAGGATCTAAAATGTACTAGGGTTGCCACTTACTAACTGTGGGTATGTCTACACTACCCCCCTAGTTCGAACTAGGGCGGGTAATGTAGTCATACGGAGTTGTAAATGAAGCCCGGGATTTGAATTTCCCGGGCTTCATTTGCATAAAGCCGGCCGGCACCACTTTAAATACCGGCTAGGTTGGACCCCGTGCCGCGCGGCTACACGCGGCACGGACTAGCTAGTTCGGATTAGGCTTCACGAGGCGTACAGCTAGTTCGGATAGGAAGCCTAATCCGCACTAGCTAGTCCGTGCCACGTATAGCCGCACGGCACGGGGTCCGACCTAGCCGGCGTTTAAAAATGGCGCCGGCCGGCTTTATGCAAATGAAGCCTTGGAAATTCAAATCCCGGGCTTCATTTGCAACTCCGTATGACTACATTACCCCCCCTAGTTCGAACTAGGGGGGTAGTGTAGACATACCCTAAATTAGTTCAAATTAATGCTGTAGTGGAGACATACCCTTAGAGACTAACAAAACATGTAGATGGGATCATGAGTTTTCGTGGGCACAACCCACTTCTTCAGATGAATGGAGTTTAAGGAATCCAGGTTCCAAATAAATAGCGGAGAAAGAGAGAGGATGGGGAGGGAAAGGAAAGAAGAAAAAAAGCCTCTATGCGAAATGAAGCTGATAGAGTGGGTTCTAAGTACCTGATGTTTGGCTTTTTATGCCATTAGGATGTGGAATGTAGCGGGTAATCCAGTCATGTCTTTGTTTAAACCTCTATTGTAGGTATCAAACTTGTAAATGAAACTAAGTTCTGGAGAGTCCCTTTCAAGCTGGTTTTTGAAATTGGCTTGTTATAATATGGAAACTTTGAGATCCATTAATGAGTGCCCAGGCAAGTTACAATGTTCCCCAACAGGTTTCTGTGTTACCGTTTTGAATCAGAGAGGTTTTTCTCTTGAAACTCACCTCCCATTCCAGCTAACCCCTCCTAGCACAAGCCAGGCACAACTCTACCTCCATGGGGTAGGGGCAGGGAGACTTTCAAAGCTGCCCCTGGGTAAGCGAGGGCCTGCGGCCAGGCCTGCACTCAGTGCTCTGCTCTCTCTGTCCCCAGCCGCCACATGCTGTTGAAGAAGCTCACCCTGTCTCATAGCCTGCGGCTCGCGGAGGAGAGGATACAGGACGTGGCCCGGTACCTAGGTGAAGATCTGACACCGTAAGACCATGCACGGGGGCACC